TTATTATACAAATAATTCATATATATATATATGAATTGCAACTGGGGCTCTCAAGTGATTCGTTTGCATGAAAGGTATTATTCTGGTGTTACTCCAATTATGTCACCACTTGTTTCTTTCTCTAAAATGTATGCAAGGCCTTTACTGAAACTGTTTCTGACATCTTACAGATTTTTTACATTTGGATTGGAAAAAACTGTGATAACAACTTCATAAAAGATGTCCTTGGATACCCAAACTATGCATCAGTACCACAGAAAATGGTAGGTGTTTTAATGAGCTATGCTGTAGAGTACTTATATTTGGAATCTATATTTCATCTATTTTCTCTGTGTTTTCAGTTTTTATTTATGTAACTCTGAATTAGGACTTTTTTTTTTTTTTTTAATTGGGTACTTTCTAACCTCTTCTCAGCTTCTTAGGGGGGAGATAGAAGTTGTCAAATGCTTTCAAGGAATGAAAGTAAACAAGGAAAGAAAGTAAATTTTGGTGTTCATAGAATGCCAAAAAATTGTTCTATGACGTTACTGCTTCTATTATGGAAATATGTGGGTTCACAAGAATAGGATGGAATTTCCTAGAATAAATATCCATGCATGTTAATTATTAAGATTACAGTTATTTTATTGATATCATGGTTTTTTGGAAGCCTTGTGTTCTCCAAACCTGGTGTAAAATAGCACGTCTGTGGTGTGATGTGAGAGGTCTGTACGTAAAGGACTTAAGTGTTGTTCAGCTTCCAAGCCTTGAGTCAATGTTAAAACAAAACTCTTAGCTGTTAGGACATCAAAGGCACTTGGATGTGTGTTTTGGTGGAGGAGGGTTTATGTTATAACCTGTACCTATAGACTTGTGCATGAAACAGTGCAGCAGTCAAAAAGACGACCCCTCTTCTGTGGGTAGTGCTTCTGAAATGTCAACAAGTGGCAGGCAATTATGGACCCTTTTAATACACTGCAGAAAAATACATAATTGAATGGTTATATTCAGATAGTACCAAAAACTTATTAGTCATTATAGAAGCACATAGGAAGATATTTCTGCTTATAAAGCTTGCATGGTATGAAGGGTAAAGTACATCACAAGTGATAACTACAAGAACAGATTAAGAATGGTGAGCTTTAAGACTACTATAAAACTGGACTGCTTGTTCAGAGTTTCGTATTTTGCTTTTAGCAGTTTAAATCTATCCTCTCTAATCAGCTGGTGGTAAGTATTAGTTGACAGAGTTATTAGGAAGAACTTGGTTAAAGGAAGGATTTTTTCTCTCATTTTCATTATAAATAGATGCTATATTACAAGTGAAAAAAAGTTAGCAGAAATAAGTTATCTTTACTTTTAAATTTTGTCCTCCATTCATTTACTACCAAGGTAGCAATGGAACTTCTTTTAAATTTGGCATCAATTCTTTTGTCATATTAATCATCTTAAAAGGTTATATTGTTCTAAGAGTTGGTAGATTTAGCTTGGTGAATGGCTCAAGTTTTTTTAATTTTTTTTTTGTCAGTTTATTCCCAAACTGAATAGTCTAGTCTAATTTTTGCATTGAAATTTGCATACAATTTCAATTCACTTCATGTTTTGTTCATCTTTTCAGTACTGCAAAATGCAACATATAGGATTGACAGAGAAAGATATGGCAAGAAAACTGTGAAAGCAGCATTTTGAAAAGATGATTTTTTTTTTTAAATGAGCTTGCTTTCTAAAATCTTTTGCACTTGGAAGTCAGTTTAAGTTAAAGATGCACAGCTTCCTACAGAGCAGATACTACTGAATTTTTGTACTTTAAGCTGAAAGAAAAAAATGTGTATATATTATCTGTGGTTGGTAATTTCTTAATAGAAATTGTGCCTTGTATGATGTTATGACTATCAGGATCTATTTTTTTAAACAAGTTTTTATATAAAGATGATGACTTCCTTCAATTACTTTCAACCAGACACAGCTTCCTGAAGTAGATGCACTTTCTTCAGAAAGGACACGATCTTTTATATCTTGGCTTAGGGACAGTAGACCTTTAAGTCCAGTTCTTCATGTAATAAAGTAAGTATTTCTGTTAGATACTGAGTATAATAATAATTGTCAACTTGCATTTGTGATTTCTGTTGACGCTGATGAAAAGTGGGAGTATCTGGCCTGAAAGAAGCTGAGTAATATCCTCTTTCCACTTCACACAGTGTTATCTGAAACCCTATAGCAACAAAGGTCATGTTAGAATCTAGTGTAAATTCAGTTACTAATAGTTTTATTGGTATTAATTAGTTGCATAATTTTATTACATTGTAAGAATATGTTACAGCAGTGGATGTCCTTATGACCAATGGGGTTAACCAAGTTAATTTCTGGTATAGCTTTAATAATTTCGATACATATATTAAAAAATAAAGTAATCTGTGGATGGTTTTAAGAATTGTATGTGTTTGTTACTAAGCTCCATAGGACAGCAGTTGATTGATGACAGGTGAGGAAAATTCTGTAGCCTTTTCAAGCCATGAAAGCACCCACTTAAAGAAGTTTTAAATTTTATAAAATGTTTATATTTGAGTTTACATTTCATTTGTTGTCTTTAGAGTACTCAGTTTACTGAGCCAGATGTGAGATCACATTTTAGAGAATATGATGGCTTTCTTACTCAGATAAATAATGTATAAGCATAGGACTGAAGCTTTTTTACTGTTGGCATTGTAGCTGCTGCTTAACTTGCAAGTAGTGCTCAGAGACCACAGTAAATAGCAGAGCTTTTACTGCATGCTGTACTACAGAGTACAGGGGACTGTGCCCCAGCAAATACTTGCTGTGTCCCAGCAAATTTTTATTGGGGCAATAATTTTGGATACTAGATCTTTGACATGTTTACCTTCTCTGTTCTGTTACCAAGTAAGAAAAACTGGGGAGGGAATTAAGATTACATGTAATCAGAGATGTAAATTTTGCATTTTTTAAATCTTTATCAGGATTTAATATAACCCTTTCAGAATTTGTTGCTGCCAGCGTATTTGTTAACTTCTAAAACAGAATCATTTTTATTTTCCCTTTTTAGTGTTTCTATAAGGTATTTTAAGTGCTGTTTCACTCGCTTTTCTACCATTTTATACTTCTTTAAAAGATGCTGCTGTTTGATAGTATTTCAAACTTAGGTGTTTTTTCTAAACTTTGGAGTATTTATAGCTGTGGTATCTTTGGACTGAATCTAAACTCCAGAGAACAATAAGCATTTCATTAGAACTTAGCCCTCTGCTTGAATTTACCTTGGATTTTTTGCTCAGTGTTTGGACTAAAATACTTTCCTCTCTTTTTTCAGGGATGAGAACCCTGCCAAAACAGATTTTTTTCAGCATTTAATTGAGGATCGGACAGAAGCAGCTTTCTCATATTATGAATTCTTACTTAATATTCAACAGCAGATCTGTAAGTGAAAAAGGAACAAAAAGAAGAAAAATCCTGACTTCAGATAGAAGCATGGGCCCAGAGAAGCATATGGGAAGTTACAAAAAGTGGATGCTTGTTCTTCAAACAATATACAGTGACCAACACTGTTTTGGAAGCTTTACAGCTAAAGAAGTATACATTTCCAAAAGAATTTTGCAGATTTACTTCAGTCTAAAAGTGGTAGGAGTGATGAAGCTGTTTGACTAGTAAACTTTAAATTGGTTTGTACACGTTTCCAGTTGTGCAGCGGTATGGTGCTCTGTTTATTGCAAGCTGGTGAATTTATGTAGCTATGTGGGATATTTCTTAACAAAATGTACAATTAGGTAAAGCCTTTTTTCTTACATTTATTATAGTAGCCCTGCCAGATCCAAATTCTTAACAGAGATGTCAAAGGGCAGTGATGTATGTTGGTTGTTTATATGAATTTCTTTTTAAAAGGAATGATTAATACTTACTAAAGACTTCAGCAAATTCCCTCCGAAAGTTGTAGAGTTTCAGTAAAGTACATCAGTTGTAGAAATAAAATATATAATGTACATAAGTATTACATTTGTAAAGAAAATGTAAAAAATGTAACTAAAAAAAAAAAGACTTAGCTCAGTGTGCAGACGTGTTGAGTGCTCAACGATGAATTGTTCCGTCCCAGGCTAGACAATGAAGTTGACTATTAAAACATGCTAAAAAAAGTATCCATGTAGAAGGAACACAGCTGCTTCTTCTGTTAATTTTAGGTGAATTTATTTATGATTGGCTTACTAATTAAAAATACTTTGCTTTATCATGTGTTTTTATATTTATGCAAGTATAATCTTTTTGCAACTAAACTCTTACTGAACTGAATATTGAAGAGAACATGTTTACTGCTTTATTTCACAGACCTCTGGAAGGGAGGGGAAAGCACTGCATAGTCCGAAATGAGCTATTGATATGAATTTCCTAAAACTCTTCTTATGTATTATCCTAAAGAAGGCATATCTGTTAGCCTCGTTTTACGTTTTGTACACTGCTGTAGTCTTGGTCCAGGTTTCTGTAACTTGTGTTGTCTGCCATTTAGAGTAAGCATGGGTAATCACTCACACTTGATGATTTGATTTCTGCTGTGATCTAAAGGCAAAAAAAAAAAAAAGAGGGGGTGTACAAATTAATTACCTTACATCAGTGGAAGTAAAGGCTTTAAAATGTCAAAATTCAAAATGTAATCACACTGTTGCATCTCTTTGAAACCTTGTTCTTAATAATGTTTTGGTAACTCATTGGTTTGGGCTTTTTGATAGATTTATCACAGATTTTTAAATTTGGTTGTTAAATTGGGATGGTTTTGATTTGGGGTTTTTTTTGAGGCACATTAGAAATAATTCATAATGCACAATCACTCATACTTAGCATTCTGAACTTTGTTTATTTAATTAAGTGCAAAAAGTAGAGAATGATTAGTATGCTTACATTTTATCTTAAAGTAGCCTCGAAAATGCTAATTACTGCATTTTGACTGCCATAGCCCCTCAATCAAATAGTCAAGAAAAAAATGTACTAGCTTTGGTTTGCAAATGCTTTAAAAGCTACACTAATTAAATTCTGCGAGTGGTGTTATTCTGCATGTTAGCACAAAGTCATTGTTTGGAGAAGATACCTTATAAGTTATATTTGTGTGTTGTCCTTAACTAAATGTATTTAAGTTACCCAAAGATTACTTAAGAGAAGTTTTCCATTTAGCAAATTAATTTATCATGTAATAAATGTCTGAGGCGATGTCTGAATGTTGTCCCTAAATCAGACCTTCCTGATTTCAGTACTTGTCTGTAGATTAATTTGCATTGGGTAAAAGCTAAGTGCTGCTGAAGTGGGGCATAATTTGTAATTGCAGAGATGAAAAGAGCATATTACAATTTTAAATGCCCCATGATAGATGCTTCTGACTTATGAGCTTGGTATTGAATATCTGGGAACATACTATGCCATGATTAATTGCAACATATTCTGTAAAACCGTTACTGAAAGCTTTATTCTTCTATGGTTTTTGTATATAAAAATTATGAAAAATACATCTTGAGAGCTATTTGTTCAGTAAAATGATTACATGGCACACAGAATCTACTTATTTTTTTTACCAGTTATAGAGCACATCTCCATTCTGACTGATCTTTGGTTTAAACTTTTAAAAGACAGTCTCATATAAATATCTTCAATTTGAAACATCTCAGGATTTCGGGTATTGATTTAAGTGTTCTGAACAACAGAATATCTGTATGCATGGTAAAACTATCTAAAACACAGGTTTATTTACGATGGTATGAATCACGCCTCCGTACCAGAGGATACACAGCAAAAGATTAATCCCTACCAAGGGATGCACTGTGAAACTCAACAAGGCTTTTGTGTACTAAGGTTTGGGAGGAGAGGTGAGAGGCACGCTTCCGTATCTGTTTTTGGTGCTGAACTGTGAAGAACATCTCTAGCCATTTTAGGGACTGAACTTTCCCCAAAATGCCTACAACACTGCATAGTATAAATCATGCCTGCTTCATTAGAAATTTAAGATTTGCTGGGTAAGATGTTTCCCAGCTAAGCAAGTCTTCAGGGGATCAGTTCAAATTCTCAGCATTTTAAATACAGACAATGGGCATCCCATTCCATGTTTAGTTTTAAAAACATCTACTACCTCTTTTACCAAGTAAGAGGTTTGGGAGTTCCTGCTGGAGAAATTACAGTCCAGAAAGTTCTTAAAATGTTAGGACACAATATGGAGCTCCCAAATAATTATTACTAAGTTGGGTTCTGTGTTTTGTTCTTAAGCTTCTTGGAAATATGCCTATTTATTAATCTCAATGTTCAGCTTAATGGCAGTGGAGAAAATAATTGTGAGTAAGCCTAAAAGTCAGGAGCTCTTCAGTAATTTTAAATATGGAGTCTTACTTTTTTCCAGGCAGATACATTTTTAAGAATTTTATGCAATTGAGGGAATAATTACAACCTTAATCACTGATTTCTGAAGTTAGATGTATTAACCCATACAAGAGTCCTGAAAGATCTCATTTTGATTTCAAATTTAGAGGGTATTTTGTCTTCAGTGGTATAAGCTTAGCAGCCAGATGCAGTACTAGTGCGTTCAGAGGTCTGAGGCTCTAACTGGCAGTGAATACATGGAATACCCCAAATATGTGCCAGTTACTCTGTCAAAAATTTCTTAGTGTTTGGGGTTTTTTGTTGTTTTGGGGTTTTGTTTTTTTTTTTGAGAGTTTTTCAAATTTTAATACATATTAAATCTTTCCGATAACTCTTGATAGTCTGTTTAAAAAAAAGGTGGAAGGGTGTCTAAGTATACTTCTCAAATTTTCATAAAGGGGTAGAATATAATCATTCTTTCAAAATCACAAAGGTTAAGTTCTACCTAGAGGAATGTAATAGCCTGTTGGACCCAGATAATTCTGAGGTTTAGTACAACAGTGCATTTGATACAGTTGTGGTGGGAACTTTAAATGGGGTTGGGCAGACCCTAATGGTTTACTGATGTAATTTCTTTACCTAACAGTTCCTGGAATTAAAGAAAAAACGGTTTCTAGCAGTCTTTCATGCCTTTACTTAAACTGACATGTCATATTCAAATGCAGGAATCTGGAAAGTGTAATTATAACTATTGCAAATAACTGGGATTTTAAGTCAGTCTTGAGAATGTTTTGTTTTTCTTCACGAGCTATTGGTGATGCCTCTTCATGAAAAATCCAAAGGGATCCTACTTGAGTGTAGAAAGAATTCTCATGATTGGTGGCATGTAAAAGAGATTATTACAAGAGCAATGCAAATTCAAATAACCACACTGCAAGTATTTCTTCATTTTATGTTCCAATCCTGAGTTCTTACTGATTTCCACTTGCAAGGCCTTTCATAGAATCATAGAATAGTTAGGGT